GTGATGAAACAATTATTTCACTTTGTCCGGTTCAACACATGCCGGGTGTGCTAGCACAATAAGTCAAAACAATAACTACAAAAGTTATTCTCTGTTTACTGTGATCAAGACCAATCACTTAAATATTGTGCTACAATCTTTTACCAATGGTTAGACCATTTCCATCTAGATTGTGAACGTTTATCTTTATATTCTAAACGAACTTTCAAAATGATCTTTCTGTGCGCCGTAGCACACCATTTCGAATACTATTAGAATATTAGACTTATGCTTTTAATTAATTGACAAACAATCAATTAAATGCATTGAATACCCTAGTGCAGATTCCCATAAAATGATAATAAATTATTTTATTCATTCAATAATAAAATTATGAAGCTAAAAGCGAGACTTTTAGTCTACTATCCTAACAGCCAGAGCCTCCACGGACCGGGAGGTTGTTAGCTGTGTCATTTTCTCTCCGAGCAGACGCCTCGGGAGGATCTTGTTGGCTACGTGATCTGGTTTGCATCTGACTTAATGATTCATTCATAAGGAAGAAGTTTTCGTACATCTTCCATTTGTATTCTCGGAATACTGTTTGTTTAATATATTTTTTTCCTCCTGTAAAGGACAAGTTCACAAGTTTTACTTGTGAACATTTTTATATCTGAGTACTGAGTACTGTCTCTATATTTCCGCAGCATGTTTAATTAAGTGTCATAACACTTAAGATAACATCTCTGTATTAAACGAATTCGGGACCATAAATTCTTTCATATATATATATATATATATATATATATATATATATATATATATATATATATATATATATATATATATATATATATATATATATATATATATATATATATATATATATATATATATATATATATATATATATATATATATATATATATATATATATATATATATATATATATATATATATATATATATATATATATATATATATATATATATATATATATATATATATATATATATATATATAAAATTTAGCTAAAAAATATAGACTTTCTGAATCAAATCAATGTAAGAACATTTAATAAATAATAAGATGATTTTGTGAAGAACTTTTTCAGAAAGACAGTGATATCATAGTCAAGTATATTTGCTTAAAAGATACTTTGATATTAGTAAATAAATTTATATTTACCTTTGCATTAGTATTCTTGATCTTCTACTTTGACAAACACATCTTGGACATCGATCAAATATACAATTTCACAGTACGTAGTTCTCAATATTTGAGTTCTTGCAAAACTCCATACAATTAGAAGTTACATATATCCATGCTTATTAAAAAAATTGCATCACAACAAGAAATAAATTCCTATCAATATATCCAAGAGAATTCAATTAGATAAATGCGATTATATAATTGCAAGGTAAAGCATTCGAAAACATAAGCCTTCAGACCTTGTTCTCTCTAATCCTAGAGCGAGGTTTTGGGGCTGTTAACAAACTCCTCAAATAAACATTTTAATATTTATGAACTGAAGCAAGAAGAATAGCAGAAGTTTTGGATTGTTGGTCTTCCAACTCAGCTATTATTGAATATTAATTATTAAATATTACTCATTAATCAACATTACAATGTGACACACACGTTGATGTTCAATGAATTAAAAATGATAAAATTAAGGATTAATTAATATTAGTTTGTTGTCCCTCTAATCTTACCTATTAAAAGGATATTTTTGTCCAAACAAAAAAGGGAAGAAACCACTAACTACATTCATCCTTTTATAAGTAGTATAGATTTGAATTTTTTCAATTTAGGTACTTTTACCTTAGTCAAAACACCCCCACATTTCTGCGGTCCAAAACTTTATGTGATAAAGATTTAAGAAATTGGTGAACCATAATCTACCCCACATATTCTAGCTTACTCTAGAATTTATCAACATGGCTTTGTTACTCATTAACAGTTCGAGTATTGCATTTCTCAATACTTTCAACTGTGGTTGATAAGGACTAGTAATTTGATAAGTACAAAACTTGTCAAAAAAAACTCCATATCATCCACGTCAATCACTTTGAATAACAATTTGTATTCATATACCATGATCATTCTCATTTAAATGCTTTTAAGGCCCCATCTTTGTTACTTAACAAAGATACATGATACAATTTTGGTATAAATACCACAAAAGTAACAAATAATTTTCTCATAAATTGTATAATCTTTTAAATCACCAATGTGATTTACCTTTACACACTGTGTGTTTATTTTGTCTTAATAGAAGACACTATAAGAAATTTCTCAAGAAACTCAAATCAAGAAATTTCTTATCAAATTGTGACAGTTTGTACACAATTCAAATCTAGAGTTTAGAAACTCCTACCGTTCATAATATAGATATATTGATCCAACAGTGCAACTGTCCAAAATAATCTCTCATATAGAGATCGTTTGACAATTTCCTTAGGAAAACAACCATTGTTGTTTGCAGATGGATCATATGTTCAACATCATAAAATCCGATTCATTCATTCATAAGGTATACTTGTGTCTTATGAATACAATATCCAAAAGTCAAGACGATCGAACAGATCGATCATCTTCGATGTTCTTTTAGATAACAACTACTCAAATATTCCTTTAGAAATTGAGCTTGTTGAGTTTCGATTGGATATCAATTTCAAATATTATATGCCTTTAATTGCATGCACACACATACGAAATTATCATTTTAAAGATAAAAGTGCATCAAATTGATCTCAATATACTAAATCTTGAGTTTAAGCATAATAATATCACAAAGAGCATGATATATCATAACATTTGGAACTAATCATGAGCTTATAAACATACATATATGCACCTAATCATAATTACATAATTCCAAATATTCACATGCATCATGTAATTTATGCATACAAAATACTTATATATACATAAGCATTTCAGAATTAACGTGGAATAATTAACCCATTCGTACATTAAAGAATAATAATACTCTATTTAATTCAATAATCCATTATCCCATTTAAACATCATTATTTATGCTGAAAATCATTTATATTCATAGCATAAATATTCATATAATTTAATCACGTACTACAACATAATTTACAATTCATAAAAATTATGCTTCAAGAGACATATGTTATATGCTTCTAATTATATGTACTCATTGATATAGACATCATATAAATAATATAACATATCATAAAAAATAGGGTAAATTACTAACACCCCCCTGAGGTATGGTCAAATTACAAAAACACCCATCTTGTTTGGATAATTACAACCACCCCCTCAACTCATCAAATTTAGTGGAATCTTCGAGATTATATGGAATATTATAACTTTTACCCGTTTTATCCCATTCAAACTCTACATTATGAAGCAAGATGATCATAATATGTGATTTTTAGCTTGTATATATCAGTTTTGTGGTGCATCGGAAACTTTATTTTTTACACAAAAAGAGTACAAACTAGAGCACATTTCACGGAATCTAGATGACTATGTTGAATTTGACACCATAAAGGTGGAGGTCTAAGAAAAAATCATAGTTGAGGGGGTAGATGTAATTATCCAAACAAGAGGGGGGTTTTTGTAATTTGACCATATCTCAGGGGGTGTTTGTAATTTACCCTAAAAAATATTATTATATGTTATTTCAAGTGTGTGACAGTTCTAACATTTCATAATATTATGCACTAATTTAATATAAATTATGCATAAAAATTCAACAAAATTTAACGCATATATCAAGAGTAACTATACATGCTTCGATCATTCAAGGTCTATTATGCTCTCATAAATAAAGCTATCATGGCAATTATAACATATAGTGCAATATTATTGCGCTATAACTCTATAATGCAACGTAACCATGTTTCTATCTCATATAATAACCATATTAGTAATCTCATATAATATTATTACTTAATTGCATAAGTTACAGTTTTAAATGAAAAGGCGTACCCGAACAAATCATAAATTCGTCTCGCATCTAAATTCTCTTATAAGGAATGCAACTTCATTTTTGGCAGCAATGACGACGTTATTCATATCTTTCTCCTTTGATGTCCGATTTTGGTACTTCAAGATGATGTAAATAGCCAACGGAATTTCCTACAAGTTTCGTCTTTTAAGTTTTCTGAGATTCGGACTGGATCTTCATCAAATTAATCCTCAAAGTAGGAATATGTGTACATGCACGCTGGGGTTGCATCGCCTCACGAACGGTTGCAATATTCATGAAAATGTGCATTGGCAGTTCTGGCACCCTTTCGTGTTTTCATCATAACTCCTCCGTATGATCTCTGATTGGGATGATTTAACATGTTCAGGAAAGCCAACTGGATTTTCTGTAACTTTTCTGAAATGGTACTTTCACAGATTCTGACTGTATAAAATGGGCTGAAACATAGTGTTCTATCCGAAACTGACGGGCTATTGTCTGAATTAGCAGAGTGGTACTAACTGAGAGAGAAGAAACCACCTGAATGCGATTACAAGGCGAGGTCAACCACATAGCCACGAATAGGGGACCTATGCCTACCATAGAATTCAGATCTGAGTATTACAACGCAATCAACACTTCGTACATTGACGCGATGATTTTTTCGTAAGTATGAGCAAAAAACTATAAATCCAAAAAAAAAAAAAAATTGGCCAGATTTTCACAATTTTAGTACTAACTAATTCGTTAGTTAGTTAAATAAATAATTAACACAATTTCAATGTAATTCAAATTAGTCATATCCATGTAACCAGACGAGGCAATAATGTTAATGAAAATTCTTTGCATACACAGTTCCATATTTCGTACTACTAATAAAATATTTATGAAAAAACATCAGAACCAATACTTAAACTTAGATTGGATGTCTGTGTGGATGAAGCATATATAACATTTAATTACTACACAAGAAATTATAAATTTAACTCTGAGATTGCATTGAAGAAATACAATAGTTATGAAGCCTTAAACCTCTCAAAGTAAAACAATATCAAATTTACATCCATGTATCTAATTCGTGGTTGGCATCTCAAATCGGCAGAGTGGGCAATAATGACTAATGCTCAACCACTTCTTGATGCAGTCGCCGTGATAAACATGCGAACACGGCATGCTTAACGCTTCTTCAAGATCTTCCAAACAAATCGAGCAACTAATATTCTGATCAGAATCAACGGCCACCCTCTTCAATGACGACATTATCGATGAATCCTCCGCTGGAACCAAACAGTTATATTCCTCATCATAAACTTCTTCAGATACAATATATTGGTTATCTACCAACACGTCCAAGTAAATATCCAAAACTCTGCCCTCTGCGAGAATATCGATGTCAACGTTAGCCAGTGTTGTTGCGAGAACATGATCAGCCAAGTTTCTGCGCAAATCGTAATCGTCTAACATGCCCCTCAGCTCGAATTCCATGACTCCCCGTAATTCATCGAGACACCGAAACTGCACGCGGCTCACTCCGAATGAGAAATTGGTTGCATATTCATTGGATATTCGTCTAACCAATTGTGGGTATGTAAAATCTTCTTGAACTGCATGTGGAATCATCCACTCGGAAAAATCGACTTTCCAAGAGAAGTTCAAGTTGATTTCAGATTGATTATTGTGACCATCAGTTTCTTCTGGAGTGACGAATTCCACGAGAGAAAGATCGCAATAGAGCATTGGTTGGAGGCGATCTTGATAATCACCCATGGTATTGGTCGTGCAATAAGAAATTGTTTTTACTCTTTGGACGAGAAGATATGTTGATTGGAAAATAAGAATTCTGGTTTTGGAGTTATATCTATATCTATCTATATATATATATACTAGCTAGGTTAATAAACCTTGTTGTATGAGGATCGGACTGCTAGAGTTATAAAGAGAAAAGGTATGTAGCCAATTTGCCAACGTGGTAATTTACGTAATTTTGGTATGATGTATTTGTTAAATATGGTAAAACTTTGACCAATAACAGCTTATATGCATGTGTATTTCTTTTTCTAGAAAACTCTTTTTTCTAGTTTTTTTCCTTTTGAAAACTCTGTTTACGGAATCCTAATACGATTTTTCTATATATGATTTGATATTAATTTTCTAACACTTACCTAAACGAACTTTTAGGAGTTTAAACGACGCTGGATTGTTGAAATTTGACGTGATTCATGAGCTTTGCTCATGAGTTTTGTTCCTTGCGCCGTTTCACTTGAGATAGAGTTCGTTTCGTACTCAAATACAATTTGAGTTCGTCGAAAACCATTATTTTTCCATAATTTCTTGCGATATTTCCACCAATGTCTATTAATAACTCTTCTCCGAATTAAATAGTTATTTTGCAACTCAAATCTAATTTGACGTTCCTTATCAATCTCCTTTTCTTCAAAAGAGCTCGACCACGAGCTATGATCAAAATATAACGATGCATATTTCTTTGCAAACAACTTCAAGTGCTCCACCAATCTTCCCGGCACAAAAAGCTCGCTTACAAAATCTTCTTCCAAACGAGGAGTTATAAAAATTGGCTTCTTAATCGAGAATCTCAATGGCTCCACCAATTTCTCCGATGCAAGAACTTCACAGCAAACACTATCAGCAATTTGATCACATACTCAACGCAATCCACTTGTCCCTTCTCTTCTCGTGCACCTTCCTCTTCTTGAACTAATTTTACAATTTCAAATTCTTCCTCAAATTTGTTTTTAACATCCTCTTTAAACTCATCGACTCTCTCTTCAACCTTGCTAACGTTTTCTTCTACTCCGTTGACGCTATATTCGACTTTGTTGATGCTCTTTTCATCCTCGTTGACTCCCCCTTCAACTTCATCGAATTTAACCTTGATTTCGTTAATTCCATCGTTAATCATAGCTACGCTAATTTTAACTTTTGCACCAACAATTTCGTCTTCAACTTTGTTAACTCGTACGCCATGATCCTCCACCAAACTGGGTGCTTGAATAACCAACGAAGTATCTTGTACATCATTAACTTTGGCAACGTGTGGAACATCTTCGGTTTTTCTAGAAGAACTATTTCGCTTCTGATAATATTCCTCCCTCCATGCTAACTCTTGAGCCTCTTCAAGGGTGTAGAATGTATGCCACACCATCCTAAGACGTATTGAAATATTCAATCCTGTCATGTACCGTGAAATTTTCGTGCTTTCGGATTCTTGCCGGTTATTTCAGCAGTATACTTCTTAACCGATCTACTCCCTTGCGAACAATTACGATATAGCTGAAATAGATGTTGCTCGTAATCTAAAGGTAATAAACGATCCATCAATATTTTTCTCTTCCTCCTCCATGATTGGATTATAAACTTTTTTTGTCTAGCTCTATTCCTCTGTATTTCATCCCACCATGCGGCTGCACAACCCTTTAACTCACACCTAACCAATTTTACTATCTTACTCGGCAAAATATCCATCAATTCAAAATATCTTTCGACTTCTGATACCCAATCGATAAAATCCTCAACTTCAAGAAAATTTCCACTAAAAGAAGGAATTTCAGCTCTTACCCGATATTTATCACGATCTTTTTGCCTCCTTAATATAGGAGGGTTTTCTTCAAACTCAGAGTTGCCGTTCACCTTTGAATAGTCGTCGTACCTTAATAAATTGAAGTTGAACAGGTCCATGATAATTGTGTCTAACATATGCACCTCGGGCTACACCGTCGGCAATCATCATGCTAGATTAAGTCATTCTGTTGTTGTTGTCAAGGGCAAATCCCTCGCGTACCAACCACAGATTTTGCAGTTTCTCAACCGCGCGGTTATCGCCAACGTAGTTGTTGTCTCCATGTTTCGCACATTTCGCCATCTAACCAGGAAAAACCTCGCTACTGATGCCAACTGACACAGAACGGAAGCACGGTAAAAAAATAATTTCTACGAATTAATCCTAAAGAACAAAATAACATTCGGAATCCACCGAAAACTCTGGAATCCACCATAAAATAGAGAAACCTCTAAAAATTTTATTAAAATTCGAAATTCTTCTCAAAATAAAGTCCTAAGGCAGCTATTTATACTAAAATAACTGAAAACCCTAATTAAACTAAGAAAATACTAAAAATTACCAAAAACGGCAAAAACTAGTTAGAGTCTGATTCTAGTAGATCTCGTAATTTTGGGAACAACCCAATTTACGGAATCCTAATACGATTTTTCTATATATGATTTGATATTTATTTTCTAACACTTACCTAAAATAGCAAAAACGAACTTCTAGGAGTCTAAACGACGCTGGATTGTTGTAATTTGACGTGATTCATGAGCTTTGCTCATGAGTTTTGTTCCTTGCGCCGTTTCACTTGAGATAGAGTTCGTTTCGTACTCAAATACAATTTGAGTTCGTCGAAAACCCTTATTTTTCCATAATTTCTTGCGATATTTCCTCCAATGCCCATTAATAACTCTTCTCCGAATTAAATAGTTATTTTGCAACTCAAATCTAATTTGACGTTCCTTATCATTAGTTGACTAAGCAGTAGCTGACACCCGACTGTTTTAGTGCTGACGTCAGCTAATCGGAGCTCCGATGATCCGCAATCGAAGGAAACAAAAAGAAAAAAAATGTCGTATTTGTTAACTAATGTTGAACTTAATTAACGTTGAGTCAGCTAATTAACCGGAGATCCGACGATCTGCCGCAGAAGAAAAAAAAAGAATAAAAAAGAGATGGCAACTAATGTTAAAGTTAAGTAATGTTCAAGTTAATTTATGTTGAGCCAGCTAACCGGAACTCCGACGACCCACCGCCGTACCGGAAAAAAAAGTTAAAAGAAAAAAAAAAGATAAAAGAAAAAAATGGAATGTCAAATGTCACCTAACGTTGAAGTTAACTAATGTTGATTCAGCTAACCAGAGCTCACGACCTAGATCACCGGCGTAACGAAAAAAAAGGGGGATCGGGTCAGGTCGGACCGGACCTGGTAGGCGGATGGGATGGGATAGGGTGAGTTGTTATCTCAAATAGAAATTTGTAGGGCTATTTTGAAAATTTATGTTTTTATGAGTTTATTTGAAATGAAAATTAAAGGTGAGTTGATTCGTAATAAAACTTCATTCCATGGGCCTAACTCAAATTCATCCAATAAAATATGTTTACTAGAAATAGCTCTAATTAACAATTACAAAATGAAAGTTTCCAAGCTATTTTTTTTATGGAGTAAACTCCATTTGTTCGATCTTTCATTTTACATATACCAAAATAATTAGTTTATACATTTTTACCCTCTTCAAACGCTAATTAGTTTTTTTTTTACTCTTTTTATTTGTATTTTTTTTTCAAAAAAAGGTTATTTAACTTACGATTAGTTAACTTCCGATTAAGCTGACTTGATTTTACAATTAGTTAACTTAATTAAGTTGGTTGAATTTTTTCCGGCATCGAAACTCCGATTAATTAACTCCGATTCGATAGTTTTCGATTAGTTAGCTTTCAATTGGTGAACTTGATTAATAATTGGTTGATTTTTTTTACAGCGGGTCGTACCAGATTTCTGATTAGTTGACTTCAGTTAATTAACCTTATTAAGTTAACTTGATTTAGATAATCTGACGGACGGATGTTAGCAAACAAGAAGTGGGAATTCATCCGATCGAAAGCCTGAAGTCAGGGGATCTAGCCAAAAACAAACTCACAAGTCAGAACAGAGCCGGTCTTGACATTTTCGGGGCCCTAAGCGAACTTAAAAAATGTTGCACTCATTTATTTTAATATATATGATTTAAATTTTTTCATTGTAGATACTCTTTTTTACAAATGTCTCATTAATATCTCAATAAAAAAACTCTTTAAACATTACTCTTCTAACATTTTTTGAAGCAAAATTGATAAGTACACTAGTGTAATCAATCTTCTTCACATTTTTCTTTTTCTTATTTCAAACTTCACACACACACACACACACACACACACATATATATATATATATATATATATATATATATATATATATATATATATATATATATATATATATATATATATATATATAATTAAGCTTTTTTTGGGGGCCTCATATGGAAGTGAGGCCCTAAGGAATTGCATCCGCGGCTTCCCTCCAAGACCAGCTCTGAGTCAGAAGTCAAAATATCAGAGCTCCAGCAACACGCCGCAATTAAAAACAAGAACATTAGAATAGAAAAAAAAACATGAAAAAAATATCTAAAAAAATAGAAAAACAATTAAGTAAAGTATAAGTAATAATAATAAAAAAGAAAAAAAAAAGAAAAAAAAAGCCATCTAAAAATGGATTACATATTTTATTTTGGACTTAAGTCAAATAAAACTTGAGGGTATTTTTTAAGGGAAAATTAGAGAAAATCTCCCATCTAGGAAATATAGTTAAGGAAACACCCCCTCTCAAAAATAATTAGATAAACCCCCTTAGCTAATATTCCACCCATGTGATATTTTCATAATTCCAAAGCTACCCTTAATTGTCTATTATATTCTTTCAAAATCCTAATCTTATTTTTAATTTTATTCCGCCGCTTCTCTTCTTCTCTGCGTTTCTCTCTTCTCTTCTTCTCTGTTTTCTTTCTTCTCAGTTTTCTTTCTTCTCAGTTTTCTTCTTTTTTTTCTTTGTTTTCTCCGGCAATCTTCTCTTCGTCGCTGTCGTCGTAGCCACCGGAAGATGGAGAAACAAATAAGAGGAATAACTCGTCGTCGGCGTGTGGAGGAGAAACACACTTCTTTC